TTTCCCATTGCTTTCTATAGAAATTGTATGCTTTTTTTCCCCACAGTCTGGACAATGCAGAGTGTTATCAAACTTTATTTAATCTTTGCCAGTCTGGGTGGAAAATGCTATCTTGGTGTACTTTTATTTTAAATTTTTGTATATTGAATGGTATTAAGCATCTTCGTAAATGTGAAGTACCATTTGTATTTATTTCCTGTTTTGTGAATAGTTTTCATATTCTTTGTCTAACTTTCTAATAGGAATGGAATTTTAAGCATTCATCATGGAAATTTTTGTTTTTATTTTATTTTTGTTTAATTTTTTAAATTTATAAATCATGTCCCTTTACTCCCCTCCCCCATCCCACCCCTACCCCCTGCTCCCACAGTCAACTCCCACTCTGTTGTCCATGTCCATGGGTCATTCATACATGTTCTTTGTCTAGTCCCTTCCCCTTCTTTCCACCATTGTCCTCTTTCCCCATCCCCTCTGGTCACTTTCAGTCTGCTCCATATTTCCGTGCCTGTGACCTGTGGTTTATTTTGTTTGTTAGTTTATTTTGTTGAATAGAGTCCACTTATAGGTGAGATCATATGGTATTTGTCTTTCATCAACTGGCTTATTTCACTTAGCTTAATATTCTCCAGTTCCATCCACGTTGTCGTGAAGGTAGGAGATCTTTCTTAAATGCAGGCTGATTTTATATTTTTTTAATGCTGAAGTTAATTATAAAATATTGAAAAATTTAAAAACATTATAGTCTCAGCAATTAAAACAACATGACACCAGCACAGAAATAAAATAGATCAGTGAAATATAATGAGCATTCTAGAGACAAATGTATATATCTGTCTAACAATGTAATATATGATTAAGTTGATATTTCAAATCAATGGGTAAAATAAGGCTTATTCAACAAATAAGGTGCATGAACCACTATTACTTGAAATAAAACAAATATAGAGCCCTATTTCACACATGATACAAGAAATATTCAGGTGAGTTAAAAATCAATATGTAGAACCTAAGGAGTTTTAGGAGAAAAGACAAACTAGTATTTTTCTTACCCTGAAGTAAAATATTGAAACCCAGAAGCTATAAAGTAAAATATTGACAATATGACTATATTAAACATTTAAGATGGTACAGAAATAAACATAAAAAAAGTTCAAGGACAAGTAATAGAGAAGGAAAGTATTTGCAGCACATGTAAAAAAGGGTTAATCTTTGTTTTGTTTTTAGGGAAAAAATTCTACAAACCTTTAATCAAAAAATGGATAAAGAATACCAAAAAGTCATTTAAAGCTTTTTTAAAAGTAATAGAAATAGGCAAGAAATATACAAAAACAAGTTTCAACAAATAATAAAGGACCAATTAACATCATTGTCACAATCAGATTAATCCGTATTAAAAAATATTGGTAATATCAAGTACTGGCAACTGTGAAAGGAACTGGGTATTCATAAGACTCTTTTTCTTCATCTTAAATCAGTCCCTTGAGCGTATCTTGTAGTGCTGGTTTGGTGGAGGTATATTCTTTCAGCCTTTTGTCTGGGAAACACCTTATTTCGCCTTCCATTTTAATTGAGAGCCATGCTGGGTAGAGCAGTTTTGATTTTAGGCCTTTGCTTTTCATTACTTGCAATATTTCTTGCCACTCCCTTCTGGCTTGCAAAGTTTCTGTTGAGAAATCAGCTGCTAGACATACCAGGGCTCCCTTATATGTTACTAGCTGTTTCTCCCTTGCTTCCTTTAGGATTCTCTGTTTGTCTTTGACATTTGCCATTTTAATTGTGATGTGTCTTGGAGTGGGCCTCATTGGGTTCCTCTTGAATGGGACTCTCTGTGCTTCCTGGACTTGTGTGACTTTTTCTCTCCTTCAATTAGGGAAGTTTTCCATCATGTCTTTTTCAAACAGGTTCTCTATTCCTTCTTCATCCTCTTCTCCTTCTGGTATCCCTATTATATGGATGTTATTATGTTTCAGGTTTTCCTGCATTTCCCTAAATGCCTCTTAGTGCTTTTTGAGTCTTGTTGTTTTTTTTGTTTTGTTTTGTTTTTTGTTTTCATTTTCTTGCTCTTTCTGGGAGCTTTTTTCTACCAGCTCACTGATTCGATCCTCTGCTTCATTGAGCCTGCTTTTGAGTCCTTCTACTGTGTTCTTCAATTCAGAAATTGTTTTCTTCATTTCTTCTTGTCTCTTATTGATAGTTTCTATGTCCTTTTCATGGTGATATAGTTTGCAGTAAGTTCCTCATAGTTTCCCTCTAGTTTATTGTAGTTCTCTGAGTTCACTGAGCTCATTGAGCTTCCTTAGGACTGTTTGGAACTCCATATCTGATAGTTTACTTGCCTCTATTTCATTTAGTTCTCTTTGTGGGGATTCCTCCTTTCCCTTCGAGTGGGGGATATTTCTTTGTCTTCCCATTATTTGTGAGACTTCTTTTTTGCTTCTGCTTCTTAAGTTGATCTGTCTTGATTTCCTGACTTTGTTGTGTGAACTTCTGTGGTAGGAAACCACTGTTTTTACTTTCTGAATCTGCTTCTGATGATGTCGGATGTCGTCCTTGTCTGACCTTAGGCAGTCTGTTCCTCATCATGGATAATTTTTAAACAAAAGAAATTGAATAGTACAATGAACCCCCATGTGCTCATCTTCCTGCTTCAACAACTACAGCATCTATAGTCACACTCATTGTCTTCCCCCCAGATTATTTTAAAGCAAATTACAAATAATAGCATTATATATGTAAATCTTTTGTATGTGTATGTTCCTGTAAGAGAAAATGATGCGTTATTTTAAGGGTGGGGGATACAATTACCACACTTAAAACAATGAACAGAAGGAAATAGGAGGGTTGGTTTTGTTTTTTTGTTTTTTTTTCTGAGTGTTTATAAACAGAGTTGGGAGGTAGTTCTGCTTCAGTGCCCTGCTCACAGCTGATAGCCCTCAAGCCCATGTTTCCGGCCACAGTGAAGCAACCCAGTCCCGTGGGTCTTGCTGACACCTGCTCTGTGGTTTGGTCCTGGTGGGGCTGTCCCTTCATCTGTGCTGTTAGATTCAACCAACATGGTGAGAGCCTCTATGATACATGAAAACCCTTATATGTCCATTAATTCATTTGATCTTTGGCAGAAGCTTAAAATATGATTAGTATTTTCTCTCCACTATCTTGTTGAGGATACTAAAGCTCAGAGAAGTTGAGTGACTTGTGCAAGTCCTCACTCAGAGATTTTAGCCCAGTTTTCCTGTTCCCAGACAGACTTCCACTTCACTACTGCAGAGCTGCGTTGATCACTTGCTGCAAATGGCACTTCAGCATAACCTCTGTGACCGCCTTCTGCCTTATCCATATGTACTCTCTTCCCTTCTAGGTGTGTTCCGGGGTGGTCATGACATCCTGGTGCGTTCTCGGCTGCTGCTTTTGGACACAGTTACAATGCAGGTGACAGCCAGAAGTTCAGAGGAGCTGCCAGTGGACATCATCTTGGCATCTGTGGGCTGAGGCCAGCCTGTATAGACCCTATTCCTACCCTTTCCCCGCAACACAATGCAGAAGTCACACCTTCCTCATGTACCCAGGGGAAATTCCTTCCTAAACTTCTGTATTCAAAAACAATTAGGAATCATTGGGATTTTTTTTTTAATTTAAACTTTACCCCAGGACTGTTGGGGGGTAACTTTTTAAGGATGATTTTAGTTTCTATTAGAACTTCTAATAGAACCCTGCCTACCAGTGAAGGACATCCCAAGTTAATAAAATGCTCGCATCTCTTGAATTTTTCCCCAGAGAAAGCAGCTTATCCCTATCAATAAATCAGCATGTATTTAGTGAATGACTGCTGCTTCTGCAGACTCATGTTTAGGGGCTCCACCTCTCCATTCTGGCCTCCCCACCACCAAGAACACCTACTCTATCCTCTTTACATCCTTAACCCTTTGGCTTCTGTAGTTACCATGAGGCAAGACCCTCTCCTTCTCTGTCCAAGCCCCACACCCAGAAACGGGAGTGGTACAGATTTGCTGAGGGAATGACAGCAGCTGACAGACTGAGTGCATGTGTTTATTCTTGTGATTTCACAAATACACTCCTTGGTGACAGATGGAGGCCTCAGAGGGTTTTGGATCGATGACCATCAGGACTGAAGTAGAATGTGTGCTGAAGTATGCCTCCTTCCACCTTGGTCCAATTCAGGGAATGCACAGAAAAGAACAAGCTTTAGAGAGCACTTTGTTGGCTCCAGATGGAGAAATCCCTAGGTTTTGTCCCAAGGGAGCAGGCTCAGAGGTCGCCTCAGCTGCATTTGTGAACTCGAGGCAGGTGGTTTGCCAATTTTGTGGCTGAAATACAGCTGCAAATCCCTTTTTTTAAAAAAACAACAACAACAACAACCCAGGCCTCTGCCTTAGAGATTTCAGGCGCAGGAGGGGGGTGAAGGTGAGGGCCTTGGGAGGGCTCATTCTCTTGCCCACTGAAGTTAGAGTGACATTTGATTCATTAAAGCTTTTCTGATGGTCCAATATTTGCCCCAGAATATGAGATAGTGAATCGGGCTGTGAAGTAAATAAAATGTTTTCTTATTTCACCACTGCTATGACCTGGTGCTCTAGAGTTAACTAGCATCTTTGCCTGTGCCCTTGGAACGATCCTTGTCCTTTCGAATCCTTCCTTAGCCTCGTTTCTCCTCAGCTCTGGAAAGGCCGTTGTTAACCCCACAGGGGATAGACGAATATGGAGTAAAGTGGAGCTCCACGAACCCTAGTATCAAGGAGTCCGCAACACAACCCTGGCCTCCAGGGCACTTTTAGAAGATTGAGATTCCTTGGGCCACTTCTCGTCACGATGGGGGAGGGAAAGAAGGCGAAAGCGCCACGGGTTAAGGGACAGCAATGGAGCCGCTCTCTGCTTGGAGGTGGGGCTAGGCTGCGTCGCTGGGGGCGGGGCCGGGAGCGCGGCCTGGGCGGTGTGAGGGCGACGAGTGAGGCGGCCGGCCGGCGGAGGCGAGAAGGGAAGGTGAGAGAGCTGGGGTCGTCGGGCTGAGTTAGAGTGAAACGACTGGCGCTGGCCGAGGTTGGGGGTAAGGGGACGCGGGCGGGCCGGCTGGGGCCAGGGCCGAGGTGGGGGTTAGGCGACGCTGGAGGCCGGTGGACCCGAAGTGCGGGGTTGGGGGAGCCTGGGGGCGTTGGCGGGACCTCAGCCCTGGCGTGGAGGACCCAGATGGCGCCAACGGGCGGCCTTGGGGCCACCTTGATGCCGAGACTTGCGCCGGAGGTAGGGTGTTATGACCTGTGGGTCCCTGGTATTGGAGGGCAGAGGAGCCACAGTGGACAGGAAGAAGCTGAGTTTGGATACTACCAAAGGCTTCCACCTTCGCGGCCCTGGTTACCGTAATCCAGATTTGCTGGTGCTCGCTGGTATGAGGCTCTAATTAATCCCAGGAATGGAGAGAGGGAAAGGGGAGTGAGGACGAGACAATATGGACAAAAAGAATCACCCAGAGCGAGGAGCTAGTGGCTCAAACCATCTAATGTTTTGAGACCTACAGGTCGTGAGAGGCCGCGCTGAAGAATGTGTGGGCGAACATCCTGCCATTTACCTAGAGATGTCCTCGCAAGAGCTTGTGCCTATCAGGATCGGCAGGGCCAGCAGCGGCTTCCAGAGTGGAGACACCCTGACAAGTATTGCCCCTCTTACAACAATAGCCCTCAATCTAACAGCCCAGTGCTTCTGTCTCGACTACACTTTGAGAAGGTAATCACTTTATTTTCTTGGCGTTGTGGTCCTCTATGGTTGACCCTTGAATAATGCAGGAGGGGGCAGGCCGGATATATTGACTCTAATAATGCCCTCACCCTGCAAAAGTCTGAAAATCTACATATAACAACTTCGGACTCTCCGAAAATTTTACTCATAGATTGCAGTTGACCGAAAAAAAGCCTTACCAATAACACAAACAGTAGATTAACACATATTTTGCATGTTGTATTATAAACTGTATTTTTACAATACAGTAAGCTAGAGAAAAAAGTGTTATGAAGAAAATAATAAGGAAAATACATTTACAATGTTTATTGAAAAAAAGTCCACATGTAATTGGACCCATGCAGTTCAAACCCGTGTTGGATTTGGTTTGGTGTGTATGCTTGGCCTGTGAGATACATTAAAAAAGTCTTTATTTGACCCCCAGTTGAGAACCACTTTTGGACTCATTGAAATGAGATTTATTGGTATCTTCTGATCTTGCAAGATAATTCAGTATTCTTTAGGCTCAATTTAAGTGCGTTCTTTATACAGACAAACTACCCTTAATGCATGTCAAACATATGACCCTTGTATCTGAATACACTTTTTAAGACAGCATCTTTCCAGCCTCACTGATCATCAGGGTCATTTGAGCATCTTTATAAAAAAGAAAAAGGTTTCCATGCCCCTTACCAGTTGTGCTGAATCAGAATCTCTAGCCCAGGGTAGAATAAAAACTAGCTAATATAAAACACCTCTAAAGCTTCTTGACCATTGAAGTTTCCATTCTTTCTGCTTGGGTTTTTAATCTTTTTATGTTTATCTTTCACTAAAGTTAGAAACAGATTTATTTGATGTGGTTATCTGAAGTTTAATTGCACTCATTGTGTATATATTATTTGCCCATTGTAGTGTTGGAGTGACCAATAATTTATAATCATGTTTTGCTTCTTTGCTTTATTTTTATTACAAGCATGCACATGATAAAAAATGCTTCATTTCAGAAGTTAATAGTTTCTCCATGTCTTTTAAAAAATTTAAATATTATGTAAATATCCTTGATAGGTTTTTAAAAACATGATTGTTTCCATGCTGGATTTTTATCCTTTTTATCTATAATGCTTAAATCACTTTATAAAGCTGATTATACCACAGCTACATACTCTTCAGAACTCTTGTGATACTGTGGTTGTCAGAAAAATACTCATTTCCACATTATGGGGATCACATTACTTTGAAATAAACAAATAACATTGATCTTTTTGGTTAAATGAATCCATTTACCTAAAATAGTTTATTCTTGGACCATTTAAGAAAGTTTTTTCTTTAATAAGAGGATAATCAAAATAAAATTAATATCAAAGGGAATCTTGACTGGGAAAGGAAACAATAAAACATGTTTCAAAAGAAGGTATAATTTGATGTGAAAAGAGAGAAGGATTAAGTGTATGAGATATTTTCTTTTAACCTTGGATCTTTTTGTACCACCTCTTTAGAATTATAGAATGAATCTTAGCTGGAAGAAAAAATTGTTTAACAGATATAAAAGCAGAAGAGTATAAAGAATGTGACTTGCCCTAGGTTACCCAGTCAGTGATGGACAGACCTGGGATTGAGGTCCAGACCAGTGTTCCCACCCAAGTGGATGCTTCCCAGAACTAGGAATGGGGTAGATGGAGCCCCTGGCAAGTATAGCCCCCCTTTTCTGTTCAGGGGTAGGAATTTGCTGATTGATGGGTATTTTGACTCCACATCTCTAATAAATTTTATTAAGATTGCTAGGGTTTCGTAAATTTGATAAGTAGTTGAGGTTTGCATTTTTTCTCAAACCTGTAAATTATAAAGCAAAATTATATTTCTGGCCAAGATGGAGGCATAGGTAGATGTGCTTTGCTTCCTCTCACAACCCAAAGAAGGACAACCAATTTAAAAAGAAAAAACATCCAGATATGCCAGAAAATTGAACTGTATGGAAGTCTGACAACCAAGGAGTTAAAGCAGAAACATTCATCCAGACTGTTAGAAGGGGCAGAGATGGGCAGTTGGGGCAGAGAGGACATGCTGCAAGGCAGTGGCAAGCTGACCGGGTGGGCAAGGCAGTTGCTGGCAGACCTGGCAGTCCCACATGTGCATGTGGATAAAATGGGAGGAATAGCTTGGGAGCGAGACAGACCATGCAACCCAGGGTTCCAGTGCGGGGAAATACCTCTGGCTCAAGACCTCTCGCTATAAAAAGCTGTGGGGGTTGCGGCAGCAGGAGAAACTCTCAGTCTCACTGGAGAGTCCGTTGGAAGGACCTACAGGATCCTAGAACATACACAAACCCATCCACCTAGGAATCAGCATGAGAAGGGCCCAATTCGTTTATGGGTAGAAAGGGAAGCAACTGAGAGCAGGGCAAGAGCCAAGCAAGTGGCATTGTTCCCTCTCTGACCCATCTCTTATCTCTTACATGCAGCACTACAACACAGCAAAGTGGGTTGCCCTCCCCTGGTGAATACTTGAGGTTCCACCCCTTACAGTATAACAGGTGCACTGAGACAGAGAAATACAGCCCAAATGAAAAAACAGATCAAAACTCCAGAAAAAGAACTAAGTGATGAGGAGATAGCCAACCAATCAGATACAGAATTCAAAACACTGGTAATTAGGATGGGCACAAAAATGATTGAGTATGGATGAAAATAAAGGAAGAAGTGAAGGCTATGCAAAGTGAAATAAAGCAAAATATACAGGGAACCAACAGTGAAGGGAAGGAAACTAGGACTCGATGATTTCAAACAGAAGGAAGAAATAAACATTCAACAGGAAAAGAATGAGGAAACAAGAATTCATAAAAATGAGGAGAAGTTTAGGAACCTCTGGGACAACTTTAAATGTTCCAACATCTGAGTCATAGGGGTGCTAGAAGGAGAAGAGGAAGAGCAAGAAACTGAAAACTTATTTGAACAAATAATGAAGGAAAACTTCCCCAGTCTGGTGAAGGAATTAGACATGCAAGTCCAGGAAGCTCAGAGAGTACCAGAGAAGATGGATCCAAGAAGAAACACACCAAGATACATCATAATAATATTACCCAAGATTAAAGATAGAGAGGATCTTAAAAGGAGCAAGAGAAAAGAAGTTACCTACAAAGGAGCTCCCATAAGATTATCAACTGATTTCTCAGAAGAAACCTGACAGGCAAGAAGGGGCTGGAAAGAAATATTTGAAATCATGAAAGACAAGGACCTACATCCAAGATTATTCTATCCAGCAAAGCAACCATTTAGAATGGAAGGGCAGATAGAGTACTTCCCAGATAAGGTCAAGTTAAAGGAGTTTGTCATCACCAAGCCCTTATTATATGAAATCTTAAAGGGACTTATTCAAGAAAAAGATGAACAAAACAATAAACAGTAAAATGACAAACTCACAACTGTCAACAACTGAACCTAAAAAACAAAAACAAACTAAACCACTAGAACAGGAATAGATTCACAGAAAAGGAGATCATGTGGAGGGTTATCAGCAGGGAAGGAGTTGAGGGAAGGATGGGGGAAAAAGTACAGGGAATAAGAAGTATAATTGGTGGGTACAAAATAGACAAGGGGAGGTTAAGAGTAGTATAGAAAATGGAGAAGCCAGAGGACTTAATGTGTATGACCCATGGACCTGAACTAAGGCGGGGCGGGGGGGGCGGGGGTTGAATGCTGGAGAGGGGGCGGAGCAGAGCAATGGGGCATAAAGCGGAGGAAAAAAATGGGACAACTGTAATAGTATAATCAACAGTATACTAAAAAAATAAAAGGCAAAATTAGAACCATTTCGGTAGTTCATTTAATCCATATCATCAACGGCCAGCACATATGTATAGTTTGCAACATTTACATTTGAAACCACTGGTTTGCAAATCACTTCCTTTTTCATTTATCTACCCCAGGGCTACCAGCTCTTCTGGTCACAGTTCAGAAAGATAGAGGAAAAGATGACTAATTTTGAGCAATATTTTCTGTATATTGGCTTTGTAGCCACTTTTTATTGATTGTTCCCAGTAGAAGGCAGCCTCACATTTGGGTTTGATTTACAATTGTCAAGTGAACACCTCAGAGATAATCACTGGAGTTTGTAAGAGTAGGATATCTCAACCTCAGCACTGTTGACATTTTGTGTGGCATAATTCTTTGCTGTGGAAAACTGTCATGTGTATTATAACATGTTTAGCAGCATCACTGGCCTCTACCCACTAGATGCCAGTAGCATCATCCTGGTCATAACAGTCAAAAACATCCCTTGATATTGCCAAATATACCCACTAGGTTTGCACACCTACACCTTCACCTTCACCTGCAGCAGTGGCAGCAGTGGGATGGGTGGCTGTCAGAATTGCCCCTTGTTGAGAATCTCAGATTTAAAAGTATTGTCTTGCAAATTTCTTGTGAGAGAGCATTTAATTGGCCATTATATAATGTTATCTCTCTTATTCTCATTTCTGCTTGGTCAGTGGCCTCTTCTGCTTGGAAGGTACATTTGATTCAGGAAGATAGGGTTAGGGTTAGGCCTAAGGCTCTGTGTTTTTGCACATTCGTTCTTCCTCTTATCCCTGATGAGATTAACACTTGGGTTTACATCCTTTATCATTTCTTCCAGGGTTTTCTTTTGCTTAGTTATCCAGCACACATAGTACCATAAGTTTTTTCTTTTGGCATGCAGGGATCAACCAAAAGTCACTGGTGTCAATTCAGTACCAACAGGAATCCCCAACTTGGGGTGTAGTGAGGAAGGAAACTTTACTCAGTGCAAACAGCTCAACTATGACACAGCATGGCTGTGAAAACGCATGGCTATTTGGTGGCCCTGAGGCCAGGCTCTTCTCCAAGTAGACAGCTCTGTTCTTCACCGGTCTTCTCTGCTTTGCTCCAGCAAGACATCTTCCATGTTTCATATTGGTGTGTCAGCTCTAGGAGGGGAAACACAGTCTTCAGTCTTTGGTGGAGAAGAAAAGTGACTCTCAGAGCCAGAGGGAGCTA